GGGGTCTTAACATTTAAGTCTCTGATAAAGTTTGAGTTGATTTTTGGAACTGGTGAGAAGTAGGTGTCTAATTTCATTCTTTTGCATTACAGATATCCAATTTTTCCTGCACCCTAATTAAAGAGATTTCATGCCAGTACCATACTGCTTTGGTTACTATAGCTTTATAGACTATTTAATTAATTTATTTGCAGTGTTGGAGTTCAAACCAGGGCCTCATGCATGCTAGGCAAGTGCTGTATCCCTAAGCTCCGCCTCCAGACCTTAGAGTCTGTTTGAAGTCAGGTATTGTGATGTTTCCAGTATTGTTTGTTTTGCTCAAGAGTGCTTTGTCCACCTAGAGAAGTCCTCTGATACCTTTTCCTAAACTCTGATTTGCAAGTACCCCAGCCACCAATGGAAGCATATTTCCTAGTTCATAGTACTAATATAACACTGTTTGCATTTAGAGTTCATTGAGTTGGGTTAGTTTGAGTCAGTACACTAAACTTATCTTTTCAGGGAAGAACAAGATGTGAACATCTAAGGCTGAAGTTCAGGCCAGAGACCAGTGGCTGTTCCCAGAAGAACTTCTGCTGAGAGAGTGTCCATTGGGCTGCCCTGGACATGGGATTTTATCTCTTGTTAACATTAACAGTTCCCCATTGTGTAGAATAACATGCTTCGTATCTAATCACTTGTTTACATGATAAAACTCTTCCCATACTTAAAATTTTCCTAATTTTTGTTTATCTCCTCCCCCTCCCCAGTTTTCATTCTATCACACATCCAGAACAAATGAGAAATAGCGCAGGCTGTTTTACAGTTCTCAGCCTCAAATGGATCAGGAGTGACACCCGCCTATGCATTTGATGTGTTTTTCTTTGAATCTGTCTTTAGGGAATGGGCTCTATCTGCTAGAGACTTTAATATTTTTGGAAATTTAATAGACTCATTTAGAGGTAAATATTTTAAACGGGCCACCCATGCGTTGCATTAACTGCACCTTACTGTGACATTATCACAAAAGCTTCAAACCTTAGGGACTGAGAAACCTTTTAACACTCTGTTTAGTAAACGTTAAACCCTTGGCTGATGATCTGAGTTCAGTCTCCCTCAGTCTAGAGCAGGCTGCTGAGGCGGGTGATATTTCAGTCATTTGAATGTCAGTCGAAGAGCACTGCACATCACTGCTGCACATCATCATAGCCCCGGGTCATTTACACTTGTGGTTGTTTTACTTCACAGCCCAGAGCCTTCCCAGAGCTGCTGTCATTTTGACCCTGAGGCCGCCCTTCACAGCCTCCTGACTCCACTCCCAACATCCTCTTTCAAGCTGACACAGAGCAAAGGCTGACCTTGTCTCATCAACCACTTACCCACACAGACCCAATTAATCTTTGGTTGCCAGTCAATCTAGCACACTTCCCTCCTTGAATACTACAGAGTTTCACAGAGGGAGCCTTTGGCTTCATTTGTTTCCATATGAGATGAGCCGTGGCTGAAACCTAGACAGCTGCCCTATGGAATGATTTGAAGACCCCTGACGACCAAAGGTGTCATCTTATCAGAGTGTCAGGGTGTGGGAACTCACCCCTAGCCCCTTTCTGTTGCTCCTTAGGGCTTCTGTACGTGAATAAGGACTTCCTGGAATAACTAGCCAATTGCTCCAACAGGGAAGTGGGGCCCTAAGACAGAGTTCTTGCACAGATAAGGGTAAAGGGATGGGAAAGGCCACACAGAAGCACTGCCTGTGGGCTGAGAAATTTAGGTTCCAAGACATTCGAAAGAACTGGGGGCCTGTAAGTAGTGACCGCCACATTGTGGGTACAACATGGTTCCCGACTCAAACCAATTGGGATCACTCAAGGTGATTAAATTATGTGACCTGGATAGGGTTTGTGGAATCTTACCACAGTGCCCACACACAGGTCATATAGATGTTATAATAAAGACAAATGCCACTCGGTATTTAATTTGACTTTAGCCAGACGTGGCTTCATTCAGAAACACACAGAAGAATTGTTTCTATAAAAAATGGAGGGCAGGGGTCTAGAATGTAACTCGTATCTTGCACTTTCAGCACTAAGAACATTCGAGATGCCTTTTTGAGGTGAGGCAGAGCAACATGATGGAAGAGTATTGTGCAAGGAAGCAGCTCACATGACCATCAGGAAGTACAGAAACTCCACTTTCCAGATACAAATATATACCCCAAAGCCACGCCCCAGTGACTCACCTCCTTCAGCTACACCTGCCTGCACTCCAGTTACCACTCAGTTAATCCCATTAGGTGTTAATTCACTGATTAGGTTAAGACTCTCACAACCCAATCATGCGACCTCTGAACCCTCTCACATTATCCCACATGTGAGATTTTTGGGGGACTCCTCACATCCAAACCATAACAAGTAGAATGGAGACTGAGATTTTGGGGGAGAGGTCTGTCTGATAAGGAAGAGGGCATTGCCTATGGACTGAGACAGCACACCTGTCACTACATCCCATTGCCACATATCTTGGGACCTATGGTATTCACAGTCCCAAGAGCAAGAGTTGGGGAATATATATTGGTATTAGGTAGATAATACCCCTACCCCACCAAGATGCCCAGTCCTAATACCTGGAATCTATGAATATATTAAATTACATGCTAAAGGAGAGTTAAGGTTGCAGATGGAATCACTAATCAGCTCTCCAGCATACGTGTGAGATTATCCTGGCTTATCTGGGAGGGCCAAGTGCAATCACAAAGATCTTTCAAAGTGGAAGAGGGAAGCAACAGAGGAGGTCAGAGTAACAACCCAAGAAGGACTTGACCCATGATTACTGGCTCTGAAGAGGGGGAAGGGGGCTGCCGGTCAAGGAATGTGGGCAACCTATTGGAGCTGAAGAAGGTAAGAAGACAAATTCTCCCTAAAACCTACAGAGGTGAAGCAGCGCTGCCAACACCTTGATTTTAGTCTGGTGAGACTCATGTTGAACATGTAACCTGTAGAACTGTAAGATAACAAGTTTGTGTTATTTTAAGCCTTGAAGTTTATGAGAATTTGTCACAACAGCTAGAGACGAACCAATCTGGGTCCCTTCAGAGGTGGGATCCAGGACCCCTCCCACCAGAGATGTTTTGTCCAAGGCAGTGAATCATTCTTTCAGTGCTTGAAGAGCACAGCTTCTCATCTATCATCAAAACCTAAAAGCTTCCCAGTTCCACTTCTCCTGTGGCACATAGAGTTTAAACCGGATCCCCTGTGACCACAGGCATTCAGAAGTTCTAGGTGGGAGCAGATTAATGATGGAAGGGCATCCATTATTGGAAGTCAATGTGAAACTTATCTCAGAACTTTTCGGACTACTACTTCAAAAGAAGAAATAAACATTAAGGGGATTGTTAAGGATCTGACTAGGCAGCTTTAGGGAAGAAAAAAAAAAATTCACAGACAAAATGTGTCCTGTATCTCCAGTTTACCTTTATTGTTCCAGAGAATAGCAGGGATCTGAGAAGACTGTCATCTTAAAGCACAATGTGTCGAGTTAAAGATGGAGTGGCAGTATTAATGGAATTGCCTTGCTTTAGTAGGTTTAAGGCAAATCCTTAACATTATTTTCCTGCCGTTTTCTAAATTAAATTTATAAGAAATATTATGTATCCTGCTGTGCAAAGTGAAAGCTGTATTCTTGTAAAGGGCTTATAATCATATTAAAAAGCTGGAGGGTGAAGTTTGTTCATGCCATCAAAGTCACAAAGTAAAAATATAGAGTCTTATATTGTGCATTTTTATAATGGTAATACCTTTTGGGGTATATAACACCACAAAGTGCTTCACTGATATTGTTTCGTTAATCCTCAGAACATCCCCAGTGGGGAGGTATATTTTTATCTCCACTTTGCATGTGGGAAAACTGAGGCACAGCCCGTGTCAGCAATTTGCCGTGGCCTGCCAGTGGGTTGCAGCACAGCTTGCTCTGAAACTCCACGATCTCAGCCCGAAGACTATTCACACCATTCATCAGATGGCAGTCATCTTTCTAATCTACCTTTCTGCAGGTACAGAAGTAGCTCCAGGAGGACCTCAGCATCTCTCCAATTTTATCTTCAACTTCCTCAAGAAAAAAAATCCTATAAATAGATTTTGTGTTAATTCCATATATCTGCTTAAAATACTTAGGAACAGTTAGATGCTGTAGCACAGGGCTCCAAGTGGGGGCATTTTTGCAAGGTTTGTGGGGAACATGGATGCTCAGCAGAAAGCCAGGAGGAAATTTTGGGGAGCTGAAGCAGGACTGTCCATCTAGTAAGCTGGAAGCTTCCCACAGGGGTCTGTTCACCAATAAACACACGTTTGCCCTCAGACCAAAGAATTACAGGTCATTCAGGGAGTCCTGTTCCTGCACCCAAGGTTATTCTGTCTTCTTTCTCTGAAGATTTAGATTTTGCCCCGAGTCTCACATGCCTTAAAACCAGCTGGTATGCTCCAGAGGTAAGCATATTCATAGAAATGTCTAGCAACTAAAGTTAATTTTCAGTGTCCTGTCTTGTGCCAGGGAGAATCAAGAGGTCCAAATTCTCCTCTGTGTTGGTTGTATGTTTTTGAGTGATGCAGAAACCCAAGACTTCAGCCCCTTGTAAATAGCATCAGTGACAACAATAATGTATAGAACATCTGCTATGTGATGGCATGAGTCTTGGGGTGTCACTCCTATTGTCTCATTGGAATTATTCTGCTATCTTTTACACATGAGAAAAAGTCATTTGCTCAAGGTCGCACAACCAGGAAATTGGTGCAGCTAGGATTTCATTTCAAGTCTGAAGGGACTTCACCACCTTCAAACTCCCATGAGGTCCCTCCAATATCCTTAGATGTGTGAGCTGTTCTGTCCTGCAACACAGGGGCTCTGCCAATAAGAGATGGCCCTCCCTTCACAATGATATGGTCAGTGTTGCTTGTTGTTTGTGTCTTTCTTTGGTATCCCACTACCCAGCCCGGGATGCGTGGCCCAATGCTTCTTTTGAGGCGTTTTGTCCTTGACAACTTTCAATAAAAATATTAGAGTCATTGTTTCTAGTTCTTTTTCTGGGAATTTATTTAAAACAAAGATGGAAAGGTTACTTGGACAGCTATTGTTTTGTATTTCTTCCCTTCCTATGCCCACATATTGGATTTGGGTCTTTCATGTGCTGCAAATGCTCAGCTGTTCAATGATTTATTTATGTAAATAGTCAGTTGGCTAGTTATGCTGAAGCTTATCTTCAAAGTTTTCCTTCCAGGATTGAGAGAGACCATTCAGAGGTAAGGGTCTTATGTGACCTGTTCCCACCTGGACAGTGTAGCTGGTCTGATGTAGCAGTGGTATTGGTTCTCAAATAGAGTATCTACAGTGAACTTCTGTAAAGTCTTTTCCATTTCTGGATTGAGTTTTCCCAGCTCTGCCAGCACAGCCACTGGGCAGAGCCCTAGTCGGTGTTTTCCTGCTGTGAGCACCTGGGGCCTTTTGTCTGAGGCTTTCCTCTGTCCATGTGTATGGTCAGTTGGAGAAGAGGGTAGGACAGAAGTGCCAAGGAATCAATACTCCTGGGAGCTGCCCAAACCAATGATGAACTGTAATTAGTGGATCAATATCTCACCTTTATTGCATCTTAAGTGGAATAGTGGAGGGATGTTGTGTACTATCTCTCAGAGACCTCAGCAGGGCTTAACTGCTACCCATAGAAGAAATGTGATCACTAAGCCCTTCCCTCCCTCCACTGCCTCCCTTCCCCACTCCCTGCAGGTGCTTTTGAGATGACCTCCAAAATACATTCAAGTTCTGCTTCTTGAGGAGCCCAGCCTTAAGACCCCCATGCTCCTTGGACTTCTGATTTTCCTTGTCATATAAATCACTGACCCCATAGCTCCACCTTGACCTTCAAAGTGGGGAAAAGGTAAGGCTGCAGGACTCTTCTCTTTTAACTAGAGCAGGGATAATTTCTATGTATTTTATCTTTTGCCTTTACTTGAACTAAAGAATCTAAATCTATTTTTTTTTTAGTTTTTTGAAGGCTTGTAGAAAATTATTTCCCCATATAAGAATTATATCTGTATTAATTTTCTATTGTTGACCTAAGAAATCACCACCAATTTGTTGTCTTAAGATCTGGAAATTTATTCTCTCATGGTTCTGGAGTCCAAAAGGCCCAAATCAAGGTGCTTTCTCCGAAGGCTCTGTGGGATTACCCTTTCTTATTTCTTCCAGTTTCTGGTGGCTCTAGGTGTTTCTTGGCTTACAGCTACATCCCCAAACCATCTCCATTTTCATATGGCCTTCTTCCCTATTTGTGCATTTTCTCTTCTGTCTCTTGTAAGGATACGTCTCATCAGATGTAGGGTCCAACTGGCTCATCCAGGTCAACCTCACCTTGATCCTTGACACAGTTCTATGTGCAAATTCTTCTCCAAAATAAGGTCCTATTCACAAGTTCCTGGTGTTAGAATATGGACAGATCTTTTTGGGAGTCACTGCTCAACCCACTATATCATCTATAGCACCTCTGACCAACAGCATGTGATCATAGCTTCAATTCGTAGTAACTGGCAACTTCTTCCCTCACAAGACAGGTGATTCCATTATTATTACACTCTAATTTACTTACAGATAATCTTCATATGGTGCCTAAATAGGCATTTCTGTAACTTCCTGCCCCCAACCAGACGTACTTCTGCTTATGGAGATAACCATGGAAATTCGATTCTCTCCCAAATCAATTCTAATAAATAGAGCTAAGCCTGAAACATTAAGGCTTAGAGAAATGTTGAGGTTTGTGAGTTCAGGGCATTCCTTAGTACGTGTTTACTTTATGTGATAGACCATGGTGTATGGTTCAAAAGAGTCTAGAAGAGAGTTCAGGATCACCACACAGCAGGGGAAAGGACATGTAACTAAGTCATGTAACTAAGATGCACAATTTTATGCAAAACCTATCAAACAAGGTAGAAGGCAATGGAGGTCATGAAAGAGGACTAACAAAGTGCAGTGTGAGTAAGGTGATGGAGGATGTGCCTTGTCATGCTCTCTAACCTGTTCTGCACAGAGAAGCCAAAATGAGTTAAAAATAAATCTGCATGTGTTCTTCCAGATTCAAAGCTATGTAATGGGTTATTATTTTTAAAAATCCAATTCTTGTTGTGGTCTTCAATGCCCTTCCTGACTGGGACCCTGTAGTCTTCTCAGTCTGCCTGGTACACACTACTGTCTTGACAGGTAGGTACCAGGCACAAGAGCCCATGGCAGACAGCCCTTCAGACAGGCCAAGCTCTATTCTGCTCAGGACATTCTCCCAGAGCCTAGAATACTCTCATCTCAATCTTTGGCTCTTCCTTTACATGTTAGTCTTAGTGCTTCTTTTATGATCTTATTTAAATTAGGTCCCCTGTTGTATTCTCTAATAGCACCTTATTCTTCATATTACTTACCACACTTTGTGATCTTGCACATATATATGTGATTACTTATTTGATGTGGACCTTTCTGTAGTAAATTTCTACGTGGTTTATCTCAGTGCTCAGAGACTAGATGTACAACAAAGATATTTATAGAATGAGTGATTCAGTAGCGAATGAATGACAGCAATTGGATAAAAGATTTCTGGAAGGAAATCTCCATTTGTGGAGAATTTAGAAGAAATAATAGAGAATGGGAAAGAATTCCAAGAGTGTAGAGAATATTGCAAATGAGAAGTTTAAGGCATGCTCTTTGGAAAATGGAAAGTAATAGAGTTCATGTTAATATGAGAAAGTGTCTTGGGCAGGGGTGGTCAACTTTTCCTGTAAAGGTCTGGTTTGTAGATACTTTAGGTCACTAAAATATGTGCCACCTACTCAACTCCACAGGTGCATTGGGAAAGCGACCATAGATAACAGGCAAATAAATGGACATTGCTGTGTCTTTGTAAAATCTTATTTACAAGAACATGCAAGTGGCTGAATTTGGCTCATGGGTTGCCGTTTGCTGACCCCTAGCCAATAATGAGAAGGAATAATGAGAAGGCTAGAATTGGAAGCTGATGTAGCACACTTGATCGTAAGCTATAAAGACAGTAAATCACTAAGTAGGTAATAGAGAGCCACAGTAGGTTTGGGAGGAAAGTGTGTGATTAAAGTGGGTGTTTTAAAAAAAAGAGTATGATTAACATGGCAGTATCCTGTGATGAACTGAATCAGAAGAACATAGAGGTACAGAAAGGAGTATTTAGGAGTCTATTGGAGTAATCTAAGTAAGAGGTGGCAAGTCTCCCCTCAAAAGCCTAGAAGTGGAGAATGGAAGGAAATTGCAAAATTATTTCTCATGTTTTTATCCTGAGTGTTAGAAAATTATACAGGGTTAGTAGGGGGGAAAAGAACAAACAGGATGTCACGAGGATTGCTTTGGTGCTGGGGGAAATGACCAGTTGAATTCCATATGTCCAATTAAGGTGTAGGGATCTTACAGATAAGAGAGGATTTGGGGATCCAAAGAGAGGTCTGTGGATGAGACTTGGGTGAAAGGCTGAGAGAGTGGAGCAGGAGAGGTCTGGTGCACAAGGTCAGATCTCCAAGATGATCTTCATTTAGACACTGTGGAGGAATAAACAGGAGCTAATTGACCCAGGACAACAGAAAGCCACAGGAGATAAATGGAGAGTTTTAAGAAGGAAAGCTGAAATCAGGCCCAAGAAAATCCATCTCCAGAAAGCACACAAAGCAATAATCTGTTCCTGAAAAAAAAATTGTAAAGTATTTACAACGTGGTGCATTAGCTGGAAATCATGTAGTAACATTAGCCTGAGTGAAGCTAGTATTGGGGTTAGCACCCGCTTCTAATTCAAGAACCTGCATGGTCAAGAACATGACACAGGAGAGACAGATTTATTTGCTTTCTTTATCCCAGACAGGCTTGCCATACTTCAAATGACCTGAAAAAATTCAATAATCTGTTCATTTGCTAGAGTCTCTCTCTGAGACTCCATTGATGGGTGATTAATCAGAGCAGCCAGGGCTGACGAGGGGGCATTCTCTGGGTATGTTTGAATGCCCTGATGCTAAAGCACATTATCAGAACATGAGGTCATCGTTTCCCCAGACTTGTGGTCAACACCACCCTGTTGGAGTATAACAGAGATGACTAGCCATGATATGAGGGCTGAGTGTACTGGGTTTTCCACTTCCGACTCTGAGTCCAAGGCACTGGACCACAGATTCCTGTGGTTTGGTTCACTGAGAAATTAGGGGAAGAGACCAATGATCCCAAACAACCTCTCCTGGAAAGTTCCCCGTTTGTTCTCACCTGCTGATTTCTGCACTCTCTGCAGGTGCTCTTGAATTTAAACTACTGCTTATTAGTTTCTTTGGATTCTCTTTGTGGAAAGATTTACTGTTCTGCATTTCTTGGGAGAAGAAATAAAAATTTTGGAGACATCTTTGTGGATTTTACAATCAGGAAGTAGAAAATTGTATTTCAAAGCTGA